CTGTGACTTCCATGTTATACAATTGTCACCTAGTGTAAAAAAGTACGCTGTGGTAGACTTTCTGCTATCCTTGTCACCAGCAAAATCAGAGTCTACATACCCCTTTAGAGTAAGTTTTTCAGATCTCTTTTCATACACTAGACCCAGATTTAATGTACCAACATTGTACCTTAACAACCATTTCAAACCTGCCCAATGAGGCTTTCCTGGGTTTGATATAAATCTGCTCAAAAAACTTATAGCATATGCTAAGTCAGGCCTGGTTGTTATCATAGAGAACATGACGGAACCTATAGCATTAGCGTAGGGTATGTTCCTCATTTCTCTAAATTCCTCCTCAGTCTTAGGAGATTGTGCACCAGAAAGATTCATATGAGCTGCTAAGGGAACGTTCACAGATTTTGATCCATTCATACCAAATTTGGCTATGACTTTGTTTAGATAGGCTTCTTGGGAAATGACTAGTCTATTTTCAGCCCTATCTCTATTTATAACCATCCCCAAAATCTTCTTAGCACTCCCCAAATCTTTCATATCAAATTCTGATTTTAAAAGGTTCTTCATCTTAGTGATTTCAGTCTTACTTGAACTTGCTAGAAGCATGTCATCTACATACAGCAACAAGTAGACCTCACAGTCCTCCTTACTGTCATTATAGTACAGGCATGCATCATATTCACTCCTTTTAAAACCTATCTTCAGTACATAGGTATCGAACCTTATGTACCACTGTCTAGGGCTTTGTTTAAGCCCATACAGAGATCTTTCTAATTTGCACACACAGTTAGTTTTACCTTTCACCTCAAAACCTTGAGGCTGACTCATGTAAATATCCTCTTCCAATTCCCCCATGTAGGAAAGCAGTCTTGACATCTAGTTGTTCCAATTCCCAGTTGTACTGAACAACCAATGCAAGAACAAGTCTGATTGTTTTGTACTTTATCACAGGAGAGAATATCTCATTGTAATCAACCCCCTCCTTTTGAGTGAACCCTTTCGCCACTAATCTGGACTTACACCTAGGAGGATCACTAGGATTATTTCCTTCTTTCAATTTGTAAATCCACTTACATTGAACTATCCTATGATCCTTGGGTTTGTTAACTAACTTCCAAGTTTTATTCTCCATTAGAGATTCCATTTCTTCCCACATAGCTTTTAGCCAACTTTCAGAACATTTTCCATTAACAGCTTCTTCATAACTAGCAGGTTCTATCTGTTCAAAGGCTTCACCTGAAACCAAGGCAAAGTCAGTCAAGTTTAGGGATTCATATCTAGGATTTGGCCTGATTTGCCTCCTCTCCCGATCCCTAGTAAGCTGATAATCTTGATTAGGTGGCTGATCATTAAAATGTTCAACTTCAACTGGTTCATTGTTATCTTGAAGTTCAGTCACCTCTTCAGGTTTAGGTTCAGGTTCAGGTTCAATTTCAATTTCATTTTCATTTTCATGATGTATAGGGTCATTTTCGTCATTCCCAGGTGTAGGTGAATTTAGCCTAGTCAGCTTCACCTCAGTCTGAATACTCTTCTCAGTTTCAGATTTGTTAGTTTCTTCGGTTTTCTGTTTTAGACATGGCATCTCAGATTCATTAAAGACTACATTCCTGCTGTTAATAATCTTAATGCCTTGGACCCCTAAAACCCATAACCTATAACCATTCACACCCTCGGGATACCCTAACATCACACACTTGATAGCCATCGGCTCAAGTTTCCCTTCAGATTGGTGTGCATATGCAGCACATCCAAACACCCTCAAGTTTTCCAGATTTGGAGGCTCTCCCGTCCACAACTCCTGTGGGGTACTAAACCCTAGACTGCTGGACGGAGACCTATTAATCAGATAAGCTACAGTACTTGCAGCTTCAGCCCAAAAACCTTTCGCAAGGCCAGAGCTAATCAACATACACCTAACTTTGTTCATTATGGTCCTGTTCATTCTTTCAGCGACCCCATTTTGTTCAGGCGTGTATTTAACAGTTCTGTGTCTTGTTATACCTTTCTGCTTACAGAAGTTGTCAAATTCGCTATTACAGAATTCAAGCCCATTATCAGTTCTTAACGTTTTAAGTTTCTTGTCTAACTGATTCTAAACAGACTTTAACCAAATCCTGAATTTTCCAAAAGTTTCCGACTTAGCCTTCAAAGGATAAATCCAAACCTTTCTTGAGTAATCATCCACTAAGGACAAAAAGTACTTGCTCCCACCAAATGTGGAGTGCTTCTCCGGGCCCCATAGATCAGCATGGACATAGTCCAATGG